ACATTTTGTTTAATATATCAAAACATTGTTTATGCATTTGTAATTGCAGGTTAAATGCATGCATGTTCTGCACTAAACAGTAGTGTGTAAATGTATCTAAATGCCACTTCAGATGCAGCTTCTGTGTTTCCTCTGAGTTGCAAAGAATTTTATTGATACTGATTTCATTTGCTTGGTAACAGCCCAAATGTCTTAATATTCTAATTCACTGATTAAATGTAAGAATTGGACTCAAAAGATAATGCACACTTTTAGAAAAAATGGCTTTATATAGGTAAAAATGCCCATAAAAGATAAAAATCAGTTGAAACTTATTGGAAAAGATTCATTTCTATCAGAGTGAACGGACCACCACACAGAATATGAAGAATATAAAAAACTTTAGGAGTCAGCTGTCCACGGTAGTCCTTAAGATACCAGCACAATAACACACTCAGCAAAATATCGTCTAATTATCGTTATCGATAAAATCCAGGAAAATATCGAGATATTATTTTTTGTCAGTATCGCACACCCCTAGCGTCAGGAAGAGTCACTTTTGAAATGAATTACTGCGAAACGCCTGTCACCGCTGTGCCATTGGGTCAGACACTTAACCCCTGCATGCTCCAGCGGGACAGTCCCGGCAATTAGCACACCGTAATTTGCTTTGGAAAAACCCGTCTGTTAAATGACAAATAAACTTGTCTGCATAAAAACACATTGCTGTATCTATGTGCGTTCAGCTTTAAATTCAGAGTCTGGATTGGCTTCTTTGCACATCTGAGCTGAAGTTTGAATGGACTGCATGTCTTCTTAATTGCGTCTTAAAGTGACGTAACACACAAAGACAGATTTAAGAGAGATAGGCCTTTGGGTATTCCTCTAGACAGCACACCGAGTGAGTGCAGCGTTTAAGAATTAGGGAACGTTGTGCCTCTTGTGCAGTGATGTCATTGATTGTTCAGTCATTCAGCTGCTCTGTGATTGGCTGCCTGGTCAGATACACTTAGCTACTTCATGAATTTGCTTAACATATTTAATGGAAATTTGTGAGTTTATTATTTTTTATATTATGTAATAAATGTATGAATAATAAAGGCTGTGTTTTTATATTGTTATATTCAGTTGTGCTGTGATTTGCAGTTTCATCTACTGTACAGTCGGCTACTTTTGCTTTAAATGGTCCGTCACTTGACAAACATCAGAGTAAAGCCACAAGGCATATTCTATTCACACTCCATTCAAACATTATAACACAACATGGTAACACCTGAAGTTGGCATCACCCTGATATATACCTGTTATCACCCTATATATATATATATTATTATTATTTTTTTTTAATAATATATTTCTTTTTTCTGCATGAAAATGTAAAATGTTTAAATTTGTCCATTGTGTTACAATGTTGCCTTGAGGCAACAAACGTTTAATAAATACATCAATTTTAAAATTATGAAAATGTTTATTGATACTGTAACAGTGTCCGATTTTAAGCAAGAAAAAACATCACAAATATCTTTTTCCTCATTGATATCATATTGCATGCCACACAGGGTTAATAATGGTAACACTTTATTTTGATAATCCACTTTAGATATTCGACTAACTACAAGTATCTTTGAAACATGTCAACTAGCAGTCATTAGAGTATTAGAAGACTGTCTGCTTGATATCTGTTTATTTTGATAGACAACAGACATTCAGCTGACTATAAGTAACTGTGCAAGTACTTATTCTACTAACCCTAACAGTCTACCAGTACTCTAACAAGAGTTAGTTGACATGTAGTTAGTAGAAAGTCTAAAGTGGACTATCGAAATAATATAAAAGTGTAACCTGAATAACTGGGCATTTTGGAGAACCATTCTGCATCCAAACTGGCTTTATATTAAAAGTCATGCTAAAATTCCCCTCCTCACGATGCTCAGAATATCTGGATCACACTCTCAATATCTCCATAATATCTGAATGAGCTGAACACTGCTGATCTAATGAGGACAGAAGATGTGCAAAGGCCCTAAATGCAACACTCGTGTGCTGCTTTACTGCATACTGGGCGGTATTTGCTGTGTACTGCATACTAGTTTGAAAAACTGTACTGTACATACTGCATCATGCAGGTATTCCCTGCATGCAGAGCGCACATACTGTACACAAATAAATATTGCATATTGAAGAAGCAGCTGGAGTAGTGCTACAGTGGTGTAAGTGCACTTGATCTCTGCGTCTGAGCTGCATTAGGACTCAGTGTCGGGCATTTAGAAGCGCTGGTGCTGATTGGCTGATCACAGTTTGTAATCTCTTACGTGTTCAGAGAGACACAGTGTTTAGCTGGACAAACCTACTGTACACAGGGGTTTCCACTGCACACCACACAGGACTGGACTGCTCTTTGACCATAAACTATTTCCATATGACAGTCCGGGAATTTAATTTTTTCCCCTGGTATGCTGTAAACACATCTCTGTCAATGAGCTTTTATGAGACCTCAATTTCAAGTTGAGACTTATGCCAGGTCCGCTGTGTGAAGACGTTGTGTAACAGGATTAACACTTATAGTAACCTATGCTCATTGGCTCAGCCTTAAAAATGTTGCTATATAAGTACTGTATACTACTTTTCACTCAGACTAGTGTATACAACAACAGTACAGTAATTGCATTTTTTTCAGTTGCATGTGATTATAGTATAGCCTTGTACATGGTTTACTATTAAATATACTATATTAAAAATGCAACATTAAAGAATTAAAATGTTACTATTCTACATTAGATGTAGATCCAGATATAGTCTAATTTATTTTTTTTTAATCCAGTTATCTGTAAAATATCTTTAACTTATGTAAGTCTGGACAAATAATAATAATAAAACAAATGAATAAAAAAAAATCATTGAAATTTATGGTGAAAAAATGTCAGCTGTGGTTGCCGGAACTTTGCCGTAAAAAAATATGGTATAGCAACATTTTAGGTTTTACGAATTGAATTTAAATTTACATGAAAAGAATGTATATTTAATTAACTGATATAAAGTTAATTTTCCAACCTACTAAAATCTTTTTTAGAAGGTTGTACCTTTATAATATACTGACAACCACTATAAAAATACAGCTGGTAATGAGAAAGTCACATGATGAATCAAAGTTTATCACAAGCTGAAGTAAACACTAATATATCGGTGCACATAATGTCGTACACACACACACACACATGATTTCAAGTTTTCCTTTCTCTTTGGAGTGTTACAAGCTGTTCGTGAATAGATAAGATCCCTAAAGTTGCAAAGACTACAGTCTCAAACCCAAAGAGATATTAATATAATAATAATCTTATGTATAAGTACGCATAATATTGCGTACGGTGTGCATACTGTATGCTGCAGAACTGTTGAGAACAGTATGGAAGTGTGCTACTGTTTGCTGAGCATTGTGGGTGTGGAGATCTGTGGATCTCAAGTTATAACGATGTTGGTAAATTTGAGTTCTCAGCGATGTGTTAATTGTACAGTATATTTAGGTCAGGTGTGGTTTGCTAATTAACATTAGTGGTATTCTACACAGAAGGTTTTAAGATTAAAGATTAATATTATAGCATATTACACACAATACCTGGCTCTTCCGAGCTTTATAATGGCAGTGAATGGCTGTTGAGTCTAATAGAAGTCCAAAAAAGTGCATCCATCCATCATAAAAAGTCCTCCACATGGCTCTGGGGGTTAATAAAGGCCTCCTAGAGTGAATCAATGCGTTTGTGTAAGAAACATATCCATATTTAAAATTTTATAAACTGTAATATCTAGCTTCTAGCTTAACATTTGTAAGCACATTCAGAAAAGAGTGGCATTCTAGCGGATGGCGTAGGACATATACTAGCATAGAATATGCTAGTCTCGCGAGAACCAAGTTTTGTTAACAGCAAAGGAAAACCAGTCTCCTCTTGGCTTATATCGAAATCCTCCGACATTTTCCTTTACAAATCCTCATTTTGTACTTTTAATCAGTGACCAGTGTTTTGCTCTCTCCTCCGTCCTACATCATCCACTGAAACGCCACTCTCTTGTGAATGCATGAGCGACGGTTAGCGGAAGCTAGAGATTACTGTTTATAAAGGTTTAAATATGGATTTTTCTTAGGCCTTTATTCACCCCCCTGGAGCCATGTGAGGCAAAGTGCTGGATGGATGCACTTTTTTGGGCTTCAAAATCTCAACACCCATTCACTGCCATTATAAAGCTTGCAAGGGCCAGGACATTTTTTAAAATAACCCTGATTGTATTCGTCTGAAAGACGAAAGTCATATACACCTAGGATGGCTTGAGGGTGAGTAAATCATGGGGTAATTT